TTTATTAGAATATTAATTCAATTAAAGGATAGATATTGCCATATATATGCATTGATTATATCTATTCAAAGTGTTTATGTCCAAAGTTGATTGGATTTAAGGCATAACACTTACAAAACCTGTCAAGTATTATTCAAGCAATTTAATAATAAGATTATTTCTAAACCAGGGTCACTTCTATAACAATCGGGAAAGTAAAAATTACTAAAATTAGTAATTTTAGACTTGGTACTGTGACGGAACTTTTTGAATTTTTATGTTTGGCTATTGTTATCTATTTCATGTTTGAAAAATTCTACTATTTAGCACAATTGATATCAAGTTTCAGTTTATGTGATAATTGTATGACATTAAATGAAAATTTTACTTAATTATAATGTCACGTGATTTATTTAATTCAACCTATCAAATGTGGCCATCTAGACGGATTATTCTTCATGTTTTGGGAAAAAATAATGTTATTTAGGGCCCGTTTGATTCTCATTATTTTAGAATGAGAATGAAAAATATAGTCGTTATTGAGTCTCACACAAGAGATAAAAATTCAAAATTGATGGCTTGATGTGATGTATAATTGTCATATTTTTCATTTTTATGGATGAAAAATGAGAAACAAACGAATGTTTAGTATCAATGGTGTTGAGCATCAATATAGGTGTCAACATAATATATGTTTTATTAATTAGAACATAAATCATTGTATTTAATTGAATCTTTAATTTACTGTCATAAGTGCTATCATTTAAACTGATGTTAAACAACATAGTGTTATATAGCATTATTCTTTTGTGACAAACAAAAATATATTACGAGTGTTTCAATTTTTGAATAAAGCCACGAAATTATGGGATATGCAAAGAAATCTTAAAGTGAACGATGATTCCTATAATTAGTAAAAAATTGATAATAAGTGTACATAGAATAAAATATGTTGAGAGATTAATTGTATCCTCTACTGTCGAACTTTCCTCGTAACTATAATTAGGTTACTTTGGACTCACAACAATTAAACAGCTTTGTTTGTGCGACTTTACACAGTGTACTAAAACTTGTTGAGACGATAGTTAGAAGTGATGCCTACGTTATATGTGTGGCAATCCTTGTGGATTTAGTTAATTATAGTTGTCGTCATTCAAGTCTCATCTCAATTGCAATTAAGTTATTGAACTTTAATTTGTAGGAATCGAATCACTTAACTTTAAATTAGTCAAAATTAAAGTAGTCGATTTGGGTACTTTCAGATTACGTGATAAATTTGACGACGTTTCAATTACATCTAATGAATTTCCCATGTCCTAATCACATTCATCAAATCTTGACACACGGCTCTATGTCACATGTCAATTTATGCAACGTTAGTTTTAAGGGTTATCTCAATAAGTTTATTGAGTTGAGTGAGGTCGATACAATTAATTTAGTCCACTTATAGAGATGGCAAAGGGTTGAGTAGGTTCGGCTCATCAAAGTTCGACCCACGGAAGGCTCGAGCTTGTTAGCATGAATCGAGCAAAGCTCATTCGGCCAGCCTGGTTCGTTGCGCTCGTGAATGGCTCATGGACACGACCCATAGTCTAAAGTTCATAGCTCGACTTGTGCTTGAACTAGCACGAGCTCGACTTGTCACTTTGACGAGCCGAGCTCAAGCTCGTGGGGTACATGGGCCGAGTAGACTCGGCTCGGCCCATTGCCATCAATATCTACTTAGACGATCATTTATATACGTTTTAGTTTTTAATTCACAAATTGCTAATTGATATCGGTGAGTAAAATTTTCTTGTACTTCATAAAATCCCACGGTAATAATGAAGAATGAGTTAAACTATTTGCATGAATAGAAACTACGGCCGTTGAGAAATTATGATCAATTTTTAGTCAGTTGTATTACTTTGTTTGAAATTCTGAAGTGATTTAATTGTAACTAAATTAAATGTAAGTGACCGATTAGTATGAATTGAAGTTGATTGATGTAAATGGATTAGTAGGGATTTTGTAATTTTACCTAAAATATAAATTCCCCGAGTGTGCTAAAAACCCTTCTCCATACTTATAACGGCTCAAAGCCCGCTTTATGCCATTTTCGCTGGCTCTTTGGTGGCGCCTCCCCTGCATTTCCATATTCCTCCTCCGTCCTCCGTCGTCTTCCGTCAACGTAACCTCTCTCATCCGCCGCCATTTTTCTCCGATGGGTGACTCTACTCAGACAAAGCCCAATCCCAACTCCGGCCCACCAGCTTACTCCAAAGACGAATCTTATCTGCAGGACGTCATCCCCAAACGAATCTCCCTCTTTGAGTCCATCCAAAACCAGCAGAAACTCCAGCGTCTATCCCTTTCTTCCGACCCCATCCAGTAATCACTATTCCAAGTTTTGCCCTTCTGTTCTTTACTTCGTTTTTTAGTTTTAACTTTTGTATTTTTGAATTTTTTTAATAGAATTACGTTGCCGGATGGGAAGGTGAAGGAGGGTAAGAAATGGAACACTACACCATTCGACGTGGCTAGGGAGATTTCCAAGAGCTTGGCCTCAAATGCCTTGATTGCTAAGGTCAACGGGGTTTTGTGGGACATGAATAGGCCCTTAGAGGGTGATTGTAAGCTCGAGCTATTTAATTTTGAGACGGATGAGGGACGTGATACTTTTTGGCACTCAAGTGCCCACATTCTTGGTCAGGTCTGATGATACATATCTATCCTTGCAGATGCATTTATATGAACGATTTTGGATACAATGTGATTTATGTTTAGTGAAATTACGATGCTGCTTGAATTGAATTACTTGGGAGTGATTATATTTGTCCTTTTTTCCCCTGTTTTGGTGTTGACAGTCTTTGGAGCAGACTTATGGCTGCAAATTATGTATTGGGCCATGTACTACCCGAGGGGAGGTAAAGTAATTTTTACTTAATTTATTCATTACGAGTTCATCGAAAATGATTTCTTTTCAATCTGATTTGCTGTTGTTTTGAAATTGGGATTGGATTTGTATTTCTGATTTGTGGTTAGTCCTGTAATATCTGATTGTTAATTTCAACCATGTTGTGTGGTAGTGTATATGTTTGTTGGAACTGATAGGTGGAATGATAAGCACAGTTAAAAGGAAAACTTGTTGGCTGATGAGCAATTAGAACCCGAGGAAACAGTTTACAAGACAGAAATATAGAAACAATGGTACCCATTACCCAAATCACTAGTTCAATATAGAAACCTTATTAGTGATTGGTGAATTATTGGTGAATTATAGTCAGGACTTATGGTTTTCTGTCCTTATGGAAGAGTCTTGAATTGAATTCTTCCTGCAAGGTGATCTGTGATGAACTGAATTAAGTTGCTCTAGTGATTAATCAATTCAGAACAAAGGATGATGGGAATTCCTGAGAGAACTAACAAAGACTTGGCTTTAGAGTTTGATTTGGTTCTAATCATTTTCATCATAAAGAAGGGAGTGTTCAGTTTTCCATTTTTGTTGTCTGATCTCCTTTCTCAGTGCTGAATTTGACATTGAATTAGCCTACAAGTTCAAGACTCTAGAGTAGGCTGCAATGCTCTCTCTTTCAATTCAATCACTGACAAAACCCACCTTTCAAATATTTCTACAAGCAATGAAATCCAAATCAAATTCTGACTAATTGAGCAAAACTGTGATCAAGCATAAAGTATTAAGAGAAATTTTTGTTTTGTTTGATAAAGTTGGATTAGATCTCTCTCAATTTATCTTTTTTAATTTCTAAATGGAGCCTTAGGTCCTACTTGGGAGTTTTTTCCCCACCTTTTAAACCATATTTTGGGTGGCACTATTTATGAGATATTGGAAAACGGTGCTTGTTAGTTTTTTAGAGTACTGCTTCTAGGTTGTTTAAAAACCACCAAAATCAGTGTAGTGTAATTTGCGTATTTCTCGACCCCAAATCCATGATTTTTTTATCGTTCTTTAAGTTTTCTTCCAATTTTACCCTTTATAAAATAGTTATTTCCAAGCCACATATTTTGTTCAAAACGAACTTGTAAAGAAAATTATAGTAACTATAAAACTTATTTGACAAGAAAAAATTTACTTTATATATGAATATTTTACTTAAAAGTAAATTTTTCATATATAAAGTAAATTTTTTCTTGTCAAATA